ATGTTACTTATTTTTATACAAAAAACAGTGCATTGGGAATCGAACCCAAAGACTAAATTGTACCACTCTTTGAAAATACCGGATCTAGGCTGTTTTCCACGTATAGTTCAGAAAATTTTGGCTATGAACATATTATGGATGTTTTATAGTTCCAAAATGATCTTTGTGGAGTTATGAGGCTCAAAGTTGCTAAGTTATTTCTTAGTAGTAAAAAAACAGGTGAAGAGTTTCTTAATGTCGTTAAAAACATTGATGCTTTCTTCGCACTACACTTCACTATATAACGTCACAAACAAAAATAACCAGCCTTTCTATACTGCCGGTTCAACGTTACAATGCTTAAATCTCCAACTTTGAGCCCCCGACTACACGCAAATAAAACTTTCATATTTACATTATGTGTTAAAAACAAATATGCCAAATACTGTAACTTAAATTACGCAAACTGTTCAAAAAGCGGAATAGCTTAAACATGACGCTAGTTTTTTAACGAAAGTGAAGATGGCTGTAAATTTTAGCTGATAGATTTTAGGCTCGCTTAGCTAAGTGTTTATAAGCTTCAAATTGTATTTCTTTAGGCTGCGTTTACACTATAGCGGATTCGCTCCTCACAACATCTTCATTTGCTTTAAAGGGTTAACTGTTCGGAGTAAAAGCTTACTAAGCTGATAGATTTAGTCTATTTGATTGTGTTTCTGACGTTGAACAATTTCATTGCTTTTTCATACAAAGAATATTCAACCTGCTACGATAGCAATCCGGTATGGTTTAAACAGGGCCTTAGGTCCATTGTTGGATATGATAACGTAGTACAAGCTTAGTCCCACACCAAGAACACTGTTTTTTTTGAAGACCTAACCGAAATATAAAATCCCTAATGGAAAAACCTGAACGGTATAAACCAAGACCGAACACGAAGTAGTAAGAACTTGGAGAATACTGAACAGGAAAAAAACCGCTAGGGATTTTAGCCGAAGTCCGCATCCCAGGGGCCCTTACAAACAATAAACTTTACTTACTTTGCAACGATTCAAAAAGCCAAGAAGAAAAAAACCGCAAAATTTTCACATACCATTTCAAGCCTAACAATTTGTTAGTTTTTTAAAGGTATTTTTGTTTTTTTTTGAAGATTTTCGCCATTATATTTTAACGTACAAATAACGAATCAAAGCTGCCATATTTCAGTTTAACTACACGTAAATCGATCACCGAACCGGACAATTTTCTACTTTGAACGAGAAAATTGTGTAAATGAGGGGAATTTCATTAAACGTGTGTTTTTCTTATCCAATCCACATCCAGCCAGTCGCACCTAAGCGCCACTCAAGCGCCCTATTTTGCACCTTTAAATTCAGTGCTTTGCGCGCCCGGTGCCACTAACGCCTAAAATTGGAGCGCTGGCTGTATGACATGGATTAGATTATGTAATACTTCAAGTTAGTTTTACGATCAGACGAAATTCATTGTTTTGAAACCACTTGAAGAAGCACACGTTAAAAGTTTGGTTATCAAATAAGTGGTGATAGTTTAACAAACAACAGGCAGCGCTTTATTTAAATTATGTTTTACTTTGACAATTATCACATACATGACTTTCATAGAAACGCGACTGGTGAACATGGAAACCTTCGTGTAACTTTTAAGTTAAATATGACAACGTCTGCGGTTTGTCTTCATAGTAACCATTATATAAAAAGCAAAACAATGTACTTTAATTAAAACCGTGTTTTCTTTTAGGTTATTATGAAGGCATACCGCATACTTAGACCTGGTGTACTAATTTATTTTATGCTCACTTTCGCTGTGGCTTGCAGCATCGAAATTCCAAGGAAGTTTTCTTAAGAAACAACATATTCTTTTACATTTACAGCTTCACGCCGCCCCTAAACTGTAAATGTCTTAACAAATTAAATACTTTTTAAGTATATATTTGTCAATTTAGGAATGAGAGAAAAGATTGAAAGTTTTTTTCCAAACATTTAAAATTCACTCATTTATCTTGATAGTGAGGTTCATTCTTGAAAGGTACAAACCTCACGTTCGTTACCTGAGCGTAGCAACTACCCGCCGCAACTACAGCGCATGCCTAAGCTATCTAAACTTCCTGCCTGCGCATGACACCGGAATTCCGCCCTGAAAAGGAATGCCCCTTGAAGGAGGTAACCCATCATGCCCTTAACTTAACCTAACCTAGTGCATTTTGCACCTACGGGTGACCTCCAACCGGGGTGGGTTGAACTACTCATGCATTATAGGGGATCCAGGAGTGCCTTAATAGTCACTGTAGAAAGCCGTTCATGAAATTGGCCAACTACAACGACTGCATGCTTTTACCGTACTAGGGGAGAGATATATTGTCTTTTCAGCTAAACCATCATCTTTCCTTTGTCTTCAATAGGTCTTGCTCGCTTGATCCAGTCTTCAAAGGTCTTCTTACAGATGCTATTTGCATCCTCTACGCTAAGGTACCATTTGTACCCACTAACCCCAAGTTGAAGTTGCCTTCCTTTGGCCAAACTTCACTTGCATTTCCGATTCTAAGCTAAATGGTACTGTCTATTCTTCTGCGAGGCAACAACCGCTGCGATCATGCGTAGCTCCCTAAATCAGTATATTCACACAGAGGTTTTTCGAAGGTAAAATATATAGAACAAACACAATTGCACGTCAGTCACAGACTTAACACATTTGATACAACTACATGATTACTAATATACAAATTTTTAATATAATTAATGCAGCACCAAAAAACACAATTAGATTATTTCAACTGAAAGAACATTTTTAGCACCTCTTAATCAAGACTATTTTGAAAATGCAGATGTTAATTTCTTTAGATGTTTCTTGAAATTGCATTCCTGCATTAAAAAATAGCCTCATGTGGAATATACTGAACACCAGGATTTGTTGTGGCTACTGTACAAAATATATTAGAGATTTGACCTGTTAACAGGCCTAACTAAGTAAAAGGTTTATTATTATTACACTCACGGTTTTCGACGAATCCTCGGCAGTTTGACGAAAGACTACGACTAACGACGAATCATTTGCCAACTATGAAGATGAAGTGATCGGATGCTGAGCAAGGACAGCCACAAAAAAGGCCCAAAACAATTTTTTGAAAAATTCAGAACGTTGATGGTGAAACCATCGTATCCAATTTTCAGGCTAACTGACAAACATCCCCGCTTTTATGTCGACGACGGCAAGCACAGAAGCAAGATTGGCCATGTCTTGCAATTGTGCATGTCGTCTACGGCATTAAATCGGAAATATCGACAGCCAGTCGGAAAATTAGGATTTTTAGGTTTTGTATTTTCACGTCAAAGAAATTCCATGTTTTTTTACGAAGAATTTTGAATTAAATAATGTTGAAATTTGGGCGTTCGATAGTGGCGTGGTTTTATTCATCATTGCGATTGTTTGACCAGTCATGATCTTAGCAGGAAAATGTCCACGAATAATGTTTTTGAAAAGGTTATAATATTGACTCTTCCATGGAAACAGGCGTTAGGTTGATGGATGCACCACTCATCAATAGTGTTTAGTGTTTGCATTCTTGGTAGAGATAGCCTTTAGGAGAATAGAAGACACGTGTTTTTCAATCTCATCAAAGTTTGTTGTTCATTCTTGATCATTGTTCAGAGGACTTCATTGAAGTGTATTGTCCAATCTTGATCATTGCTCAGAAGTTCATCAAGGTATATTGTTCATTCTTGATCATTGTTCGGAAGACTTCATTAAAGTATACTGCCTATTCTTGATCACTGTTCAGAAGACCTCATTAAAATATATTGTTCATTCTTGATCATTGTTCGGAAGACTTCATTAAAGTATACTGCCTATTCTTGATCACTGTTCAGAAGACCTCATTAAAGTATATTGTTCATTCTTGATCGTTGTTCAGAGGACTTCATTAAAGTATATTGTTCATTCTTGATCGTTGTTCAGAGGACTTCATTAAAGTATATTGTTCATTCTTTATCGTTGTTCAGAGGACTTCATTAAAGTATATTGTTCATTCTTCATCGTTGTTCAGAGGGCTTCATTAAAGTATCTTGTTCATTCTTGATCATTGTTCAAAGGTCACCATCAATGTATATTGTTCATTCTCGAGAAAATGTTCTACAACAGCCACAATTCTCTTCCATCGCTGTGAACAACAACCATTTTCTTTAATTGCCGAGTGAATACATCAACATTAGTTTGTTGTTTCTTAATCTCAACTGATGGACATTTGTCCTTTAACAGAAGAATGTTCATATCTAAAATCAAAGACAGAAGAAAAGTTACAAGGACGAACACTTTAAGGAAAAGCCATACCGCACTTTGCTTAAACGAACATCACATGCGCGTCTCAATTCAATCCGTACTCAGTGTAGTACACTTATACTCAGAACAAGAAACAACACATTTACCTTAAAATGTTTTCAAAGAACTCCAAGAGATATTTCACAAACGACTAATTTCGACTTTGTCCATTATTCTTGGTGCGACTACCGACTTTTGCGTTCACGTTCACTTTCACGTTCAAATGGCATGCTCTTTCGTAGTCTTAGAGTACATAGCTGAAGTTTCACAAACTATTGTGTTCTGATTGGTCATTGACTAGGTGTGTCGTAAACGTGGTGTGTTCTGATTGGTCAGATACTAGGTGTGTCGTAAACGTGGTGTGTTCTGAGTGGTTAGTTACTAGGTGGTGTGTCGTCAATGGTACATTGTGGCCCTACAAAGTGTCTTAAAAACTGCTCATCTTTGAAATCAGCCAAGTTTTAGAATTTGCATGATTCATCAATTAGAAGTAATTAATCCCCATAGAGCAGTAAATAAAATTCTATACTTGCACATAAAAAGCTTTTGTGCTTGCATCAACGATATTTACAAAAATTTAATCATCTGTGGGATTAACATAGTAACAGCATTGAAATTATAGTGTTGACAAATTTATAGGAGAGGCTTTGCGTCATTTGCGCCAATGAAGAAGAAAAAAGGATCGCATATCACTTTAAAATCTCGGTCAAATTCATTTTCTTTAGTAATACCACAGAATAGATACATACAGAAGCGATACTCAGCGAAAAATGTGTCCCCTACTTGTACCCAGTTCTTAAGTGCGCATCTTTTGCGTCAGTATTTTTTTTAATTTTATTATTCAAATTACAGCCGGCATTATATGTTGTCCCTTTAAAAAATTTTCAATCTCCATGCGACAATAAATTTTCATGGCAACTTTTGTTCCGAATCTTTCCACATTCCTTTTTTTGTGTGATAAAAATGAAAAAATGTAAGCACCTTCAAGCGTTCGATTTTCAGGCCGTCTGCCAAAATTTTAACTACTGGGTCCCAGTCTTCGCCACCGTAGGAAGGCCTAAATCGTTCCACGTCCATGCCACCAATTCTAAAAGGAGATAATACTCTAGAGTAATGATATAAGTCTCTTTTTAACCCAGAAGATTAATAGATTTTTAATGGAAAAATTATTTTCCATGTTTGATATTTTAAATTCATTGTTTTGAGTATCAATGTAGTCTTTTGGCAAAGTAACAAAATTACACATCATACAATAAAAGTTTCCCTGTAAAAAAGGGCGAGGTTTTCCTTCTGGTGGCTTAAATGCCAAGATTTGATTTTATTTTGATTATTGATACCTTACTGAAGATTTGATTATTGACAAATGTAAATCACAACCAAATACAATATCATTTGGATTTGTCACCATAGTCATAGCATAGTGTAACCAATTGATTTATGAAATTTAGACGTCATGTGGAGCAATACAAATCGCTTATTCGAGTCCTTTCCAAAGCATGTTTGATATCGATATCTTTAGTGTGAAAATGCATAATGATAACCTTTAGGAATTCATCTTTGGTTTCTTGATATATCTCTTCAAGATTATTAATAAAATGTTGCACCCATTGTCCCTGCCAACCGCCGACTGTCAGCACAATATTTACAGTAGCATTATAGCCCACTTATCTAAGTTTTTGTCTACTTGTCTACTTTTTTGTCGACATTTTTGTGTCTAACATAGTGAAGCATCACTAAGTAAACAAATTAACTAGAACACGAAGAATGCTATTTGAAAAATTACAAGCAAATATGTGTTATTATTATTTAGAGCAGTTTAATGTATGTTTTTCTTGACGTCAACACGTTAACTAAAATTACTATAAAATGACATTTATAAAACAAATTTCGTGAAAAACTAAATATTATTAATACTACTATGTAGAAATTGATATTTATATTATTATTACAGAATGCATCGAGTCTCACAGTCTCAATCAAAGACATCACGCAAAAGATTCTCTAAGATTTGGGCTTCTTTAAATATCTCTCCTTTATTCACTCATCCGTCTTTAATTAATCAACGTTACTGTTACGGCAAAACAACAGCAACAGCACCTTTCCTTGGATCATATTTTGCGAATAGGTATCCCGATTTAGTTCTATAAATTCCTTGAACAACAGAGAATCATCGTGATCCTTTCATTTTGTGTCCCAGATCCTTCAAGCCAATGAAAACAGGCTCTAGAATATTGTCATGAATATAATTTTTCTCAATGTAAACTGTATTAGGAAACAGTTGATGATGCAAGCGACCTCTTTCGATGGACTCCTCAAGACTCAAACCAAACCAAAGCTTATTTAACAAAAGTTAAAAAAGTATCGTTTCCATGAACTTTCGAATGATTTGATTCACAAATAACAAACTCAGAAATAAAAAATGTAATAATATCCATAATGATATGTACTGCTTATCGCTTGTAAAATTAACTATTACTGTCATATGGAGTTGAGTGGGATGGGGTGCTCTGGGGGTAGAAATATCGTGTATTTGCAAGAACGGATACTTTTTCATATTGCTCGACCAAGGAGTTTCCAGTTACAGCGGGCTAACCACGTGACACGTTCAGTGAAGGATAAAATAGAGCACAAGATACAATCATTTAAAACAGAATATGTTTTAAATGCAAACATATACATATATCACTGTATATGTTTGTGTTTCGCTGTCTACATATATTTTGAAATCTTTTATCTTAGACAAACTTCCTTTGAGGTAAAATGCACAAACATTTCGAGCCGATGTCGACACATCGTGGTCGTTATCTACTAGAAAGTCGTCATGTTCTGCAAGAACGTCGTCAATAACATAAAATTATAAAATTGTCTTCAATTTGGTAATGCTATATAGCTTAGTTTTGATAAATGTAAACAAATATTGCTAACTATAACTATAATATTCACCTCTTGCCTTCGTCTCTTCTCAAATGCAGTTCTAACATTTGTTGGCTGCTTCCTTTAGATGCTACACTTGTGGGTTCCAAAGAGTATTCAAAATCGTGGTACAGCATCCTTCTTAAGGCGAAGCCGTCCTGCTGTCCATTTTATGTTATAGGAAAGATGCTCAAAATGAGAGAAAATACATAGTGTTTGATAGTTGCCAGAGACAGTTAGTGAGTCAATGCCCATGTTGTGGTGAAAGCTGTTCCACTGTGACCAAAACGACTGGTAGTATGGTTAACGTACTAGCAAAATGTCATTGTGGCTATGTTCGAGAATGGAATAGCCAACCTCTGCATGGGCAAATGCCTTTGGGTAATTTGGTCTTTGCTGCCAGCATTTTGTTTAGTGGTAGTAGCCCAGCAAAGTTCTTCAATTCCTTCGTCACTCAGGCATACAATTTCTGTCATAGCGTACATATAGCTATATTCAAACAGCGTATTTGATACCCAGTGTTTCAAATGTTTGGCATATGAACTAAAATCCTTTCTAGAATCAATCAGAGAAAGGAACATTAACCTTGGAAGAGATGGAAGATGTGATTCGCCTGGATATTGTGCCAAGTATGGGTCATATAGCTGCATGGATTTGGAATCTAACAATATTTTAGACACACAACTTGTTCAGGTAACAATTCTTCAACAACTGTACATAAAACATGGTTAGAATACTTACATAATTATGTTAAACAGTCCAATGAAGTGTCCAACTCTGGAGCAATGGAACTTGAGGGATTAAAAAGATGTCTGGCAAAGTTTGATGAAAGTGGGATGAAGGTGAAGTCAATGACCACAGACAGACATGCTCAAATCAAATCCTGCATGTCAAAACAACGACCAAAAATCGAGCACTACTTTGATGTATGGCATGTAGCAAAAGGTATAGATTGTAATAACAAACCAACCCTTTACACATTTCATCAATAATCAAAATCCAACAGGAATCAAAAAGAAAATTTTGGCAGCATCAAGAAAAAGTGGTTGCAAATTATTGTCAGATTGGGCCCAATCAATTTCCAACCATGTATACTGGTGTGCTGCTTCCAGCAATGGTGATGAAGAGCTTGTCAAGACAAAGTGGTTGTCAGTTCTCAACCATATATGTGACATCCACGAGGGACACAGTGATGTATTCCCAAAATGTGAACATGATATGTTAGAGAGCCTAGAATGTGGATAAAAAAAGGTATTGTAAGCGAATAAATTTCAAAGTAACATCAACATTTTTGTATTTTTTTTTTGTTAACTAACTTCTGATCTTAGGTTCAAAAGCTTATGTTGAGCTGTCTTTGATTGTTGAGTCCAAGTATCTCATGAGAGATATTGGAAAACTCAGTTATCAGAAGCAGACTTCATTCATCGAAGGTTTCCACCGAGTGGTGATTCTTTTTGCACCAAAACATACTCATTTTTTCTACAGATCAATGGAAGCAAGGTAATATAATTATGACTTGTGTATGATTACTTAAAAAAGTCATCCTTGCAAAAGCAATAAGTTGCAATAGTTGTAAACATAAACTTGACATTCATTTGTTGATTGTTTATTGCCGTTCTTCATTTCAATGAGAATGGAAATAAAGCTCAGAAAACGAAAAATGGTGGGGAAACAGAAGAGGCATTGATTTGGTGAGTGGCTTACTCAATGTCAAAGGAAGGACAAGGGGTCATCAAACCAGTGAAAGTTTACAGCACTTATGGTTAGCACAGAAAAATAAAATTACCTTTTCTCAAAGTGAAATGCAAAGCCAACATAAATAAATGATTTGCTTTTCAGGATATGTTAAGGACTTGATGAAAGAAGTTTTGTACTGCAGACGAATTAATCCAACACTGTCCAAAACTCTTGATGTCGCTGGAGTGAAAGAAATACCTGTCCCATTGACTCGCCACAAATCAAAAATCAGCAAAGCTGAAGCCATTAAGCAACATAAATCTCGTTTTGATAAATAAAATGCAACTAACCATTTAACATTTCCATTTCCATAACCATTTAGTGCGGAATTATTTACACTAAAGCAATATTTCCGCACTAAACTTGGATGATGTACGACTCAGTTGTGACAATTCGTTAAAATAACAATACACATAACAATAAAGCAAAAGAAGTTAGTGAAGTCAAAATTACGAATGTGCTGAAGTTGCTGTTATCAAACGAAATATATCAAATCAAAAAAGACAAAAATATGTACCGAGGAATTGAAATGTCATGAATTGAAATGATGTTGAAAAGTCATGGTGAAAATATACCTGAGTTTCAGAATGCACATCCTGTATCTTATCATTAAAATTCACTAAGAATTCACTAAAATTCAGCCCAAACTGCCAAGAGATCATTATCTGAATATGAAGAGTCCTCCAGAATTTACTTAAATTAAGCTATAGATAGCTGAATTTTAGTGAATTCTGGAGGACTTCTTTCATCACTTGCATATCTTAAAACGATTAGTGAATGCACATAACATTAAAAATAATGACAATAATGTCTGAAGGTGAAAAATCTCTTGCGTAAAATTACTTGTTTGGTATTTGATCAGGTGCCTTTACACCATCTAGAACCTCGTTGATTTTCGTTAATAACTCATAACGCCTCTGACCATGTACCTTTTATAAAAAGTAAAATACCTTCGTGGTGATAATCATTTCACATAATCTCCAATTGTTCTCACCTTCAGATAAAACGTCTCATCGGAACTTGAAGATGAATCAGGCGCACATTCTTGGCTCAACTTCCCTCTCTTCACAACAAATCCATCGCTCACATAAGGATTTACTGGAAAATAATGTCGATTAAAAATCACGTGCTTATTCATGAATACAAAATTTTCAAAAAAATACATATCTCATATCATAGCACATAGGAAGAAACTTTCTATGAATTCTTTAATACGTAAAACTTACGTCGTTTACGAGGTTGTTGTCCTTGCGTGATAGAGAACTGGAAAGGTTTGGGTGAGCTGGAGTCTTTAACAGTTGACATGAGTACACTCTGTCGAAGGGGGTATAATGTTGTTGTGGATGATGTCACGTCTGTCGTTGAACTGGGTTCGTTGTCCTGGTGTTTGTTTAGCTTTGAATTAGATCCCAGTCCTTTTCAATGCTATCCCTTCCAGGTGAAGCACATATACGTAGCTCAACCACAGCTATACCTTCAACCCTAGAACTGACAGAGAAGAAAGTATGAGCCTTTGACACACATTTATATCACATACAATACATGTATGTACCATCTCATTCTTTATAATCCCTCAAATGCATACTATAAAATAAAAGTAATTAAATAACGTACCCACATTCCAGTCGAAAGGATAAATGTGTTGGTCGTCTGTTCATTCCTCCAATGCAAGAGTTAAAGCATGTAAATCCAAACAATTCCTTGCGATATCCGCTATCTGCAAAATAATTTACAGCAAAATTACTAAATACCTGTGTATGTAAAGAAATTAAAGTGCTAAAATAAAATACAAGAGCAGTACATATACCATCTGGTTTCACAGCATTCAGCGGTATGAACATAGACAAACGTTTTGTCTTTGGGCAACTTTCGTATCTTGTTTGTGGATTATCACATCTCCTTACATGCTCAGGATACTCTTTTAAACTCATATAAAAAGTCGTATTAAAAGTCGTTAAAAGTCATAATAAAAGTCGTTTCATTCTCAAGTTTATTGATTAGAAGGCTTTCATGAATGGAGAGTTCATATGTATCGTTGGAAGAGGAGATTATTTTAAAGTCGTCTAAGTTGGGGGTGTGTCCAGTTGCGTTAATGTGAGCAAGAATGCTTGATGATGAAGGGTGGGAAACTTGGTTGCCTGTATGGGGATATTCCCAAGTCTGAAAATCTGGTGTGTAGATGACGTGTGAATTGACCCACATACGACGCGTTGCAGCTTCGACACTTGAATAAATAGACTACACCAGATCTCAGGGGTTTGGGAATTTGTCATTAAAGGAAGAAAGAGATACGTTGAGAAGGGCGGAAAACAAATTTAATGGATATATGGGAGGCTGCAGCACAAAGGCTATTGCTTTGTGTGCGAATTTGAAGGAGTGTATTCCGGTGAAAGGAAGACAGAAATAGATGGGCATTTTGTGAGCAGTCGAGACAGGTGGTTTAGGGCAAAGGTGTTGTTAAGGAAGCGACCTGTGATTTGGTAAATTATACGTGAAGGAAAACCGTTTTTGGTGAGTGACTTTCTGGTAAATCTGAGTTGTGTATGAAAATTTTCGTAAGTAGAACAAAGATTGAAGATGCGGTGTAAGCAGGAGACTAGTGAAAGTTTGTGGTAAGTGGGATGAAGCTGTGGAAGTTGGTGAAGAAGTTGGTGACTTCCGTCTACCGCAAACCTACTTTCACTGGCCTCTAATCTATTTTATGGCTCTAATCAGAACTTTATGTTGGGCATTAATTTTATCACACGAAGTCGAAGGACTGTCTTTGGATTGGCTTCATCAGACATAATAATCAAGAGGTCCAAAACTTCTTCTTTGGGGGGCACAATTGCGCATACTGGTTTGTCAGAAGCCAATGCTGCCAATAACCTTCTGCACGAGTTTGGATAACTAGTGATAAATCCTTGTTTCTCTAACCATTCAAGTAGAGTCCTAAGCCCTTCGGAGATATCTATAAATACGAGAAATTGTAGTATAAAATCAGCTCTGGAGTGGTCATACAAAATTTTGTACTCGTGGGTAATAAATTCTTCTTACTTCAAATTTTAATTTTGAAATTCGTCCCAACTTAGCTTTGAATCACTGTACTTCTTCAATAAAGCTCGCACATTTCTCCTGTTGATGAAATTGCGCATTTCAAACCTAGTATTGGACAAAAGAAAACAGGTTGTTATTTTTATAACTATAAGCTGTGTACAAAACAAAGTGAGAGAAGTCACCATCATGCATAAAATGCTTTCTGATACGTAGATGAACACTCGTATTTACTAATTAGCAGACCTGTATATACTATATATTACAGATAAACTTCAAAAATACTTATCTTCCATCTAGCAATCCAGTATCAGACTCTCTTAAATTATTTGGTAAGAAAGTTTTCTGTATTCCAAGAGTTGTTCCATCCATCACCACCTTTGGGGAATTCTTCCACATAATTCACAAAAACCCATTGTCAAAATCAATATCAAGCAACCTTAATAAGAGAAAATTCAATAACTTAATAAAACAAGCGATCACTATCTCAATGGAATATTCATATTTTACAGCTGAAAATGAAATGATGCTTACCGTATCATGGCAATGATAGCGAGACGAAACTTGGCGTAAGTTATTTCCTTTGGGAAATTAAAATTACCCGAAGACACTTGCCTTTGTACATACGCAACATAATATTTGTACATAGGTAAACTGAACAAGAATAAAAAAAAAAACATTCAAAAGAGATAGGGCGAGAAAATTAAATAATGGACAAACGTAGCTACTAATGCTTCGGCAAATTTTCATTAAAATTACCTCGACGTTATGAAAAGCCGAATGTAATCTTTAGAACGGCATGAGATATTGCATATGATCCAAACCATACAATCCTGTTTTCAATGCCATCATAATGCTTTTTCGTAGCACAAGAGGAGCAAGGTCTACAATACACTAAATAATTTATTTAAGTCAAATAATTATGAAGCAAAGCGTAACCTATAACAAATCAGAACTTACCCTTCACATCATGGATTGAATAAAAGTACGCAACTGAACACACGTCTACGTACAACCATTCATCTTGAATAGAACGTTTATCCCACTCTGCACCACAAGAACAAATACCACTTTCAGATGGCCAAAATTTTATGACCATTTTTTTCAGGAAGATCAGTAAAATCGCTTGCATCATTCTCATTGCCTAAAATAATTAAATTGTAATATTTACAAAATGCTAGAAAGTGCTAAATACCATACCGATAAAGGAAATAGTATATGTAAAGCTAAAAGGATGTTCACCATTGCAGATTATCTTGCATACCTGTTTCAAATAAAGAAACCTTTTCTTTGCTAAGTGTAGCCAATTCAAAATAGTCTCGCATCTCTGGTGTAATTCCAAAGGAACACTTAAAAAGTGCCAATGGAGAATCCATTTCATCCTCTTCAACGATTTGCATGGCTTTTGCAAGGGTTGTCACATGAATGCAATGATATGACGAACAGCTGCAACATTTTAACTCGGGCTGGGGCGGCGTTACTTTTGAATACACAAAAGTACAAACCCCCCATGGACTATTCACTGGTTTTACAGCAATCCACTGAACCTCTCTGCACACTGCACTAAACAAGTCCTAAAATATGTAAAATCATTTATCTTAAGGTTGTATTATGTGTGTGTATGTATGTGTGTGTATGTGTATGCAGATTAATAATTATGATTATGACTTCACAAAATCCTTAGAAAGTGCTTAATATATATATCAGGCACGTAAAGCAAATGGTGAATATGACTTTACTATTTTTATCATACATTTAGTTTATACTACTTAATGTATGTACTGTAGGTATGTGGCTATGTATGTATTTGAGTATGAGTGTGTATACCTCAATAGTCATAAATAAATTCAATTTGCCCTGTTGGCTATCACCCTAATACCTTTATAGAAGCTCCTGAACTTAGGCACAGGATGTATGGTAACAAATTGTGGGGTATTAGAAGGTTGAGAAAATATACGTGTATTTGTACAAAAAGTTATTTTCACATAAAAAAATATACTTCTTCAGGTCGCATCTCATGGTAGGAATGATCACTGAAAACAGACTGCATCATGGATGTGGATTCTGCATTCATAAAAGAAATTGGATGAGATAAATATGTTGTGTAAATAATCATTCACAAGTTTTAACAATATTTTGCTTGTAAAGCTATGCTAGTTAACGTCCACATGTAATAAGAACAATGTCAAACAAGGGTCTTGTAAAAACACAGAAGGATGACTTCACAAGGGTTTGAAATGTACAATAAACTGATATTTAAGGATGAAGACATTTCCTCCCATACAACATGAAGAACTTTACATTGAAAAAATAAGCCAAATACGAATTTGAGACATTCACTTCATGCAATGTCAGATTAATACAAATAGTATGTAAGTGTAAGTCAAAATTTGGTGAAGCTGTTCAGACACCTTATATCCTGAAAGAGTAACACACAACACTTACTTTTTTCAATAAAATCTTTGGCTTCAATACCAAACTTTCTATCATACACAACCAGATATTTTTACATTGCTAATATGTGTATGCAACTGGGATATGGTATATCTGACAAGTACAAAATGTTGTTTGGCCTGTTTTAATAATTTCATTTCAGTAACATCTATTTTACATACCTTTTTGAGGATCTAATTGTATATTATTAGGTAGGGCTTCAACAAATTGCTTTCTATTTGCATCACATGAGCAGCACAATATCCAACCGTAGCCATCAAGCAATAGGTGGGGATATCGATGTACAAATACAAATGAATTATGCTGAAGAAAAAAATACATGCAGATTATAGCACCAAAAAAAGAGTATTGAGTAATATCATTTAGTTGGGTATATACCCAACATTGAAATTATGGAAATAAAATTTGACATCACCATAATTGTTCTTTTGTTTGCATTATAATCATGAACAACAAAGGATTGCTGACGTGATACATTTGATGCAAAGTCAAACTGTAACAATAGCCCAGTATAGTGGCCAGTGGGTGACAAATGACTCTGAAAGAGCAAGTATACAGTAATTATTAATGTTCACTGTTTCAAAAATATCTATTGTAATATATTTTTATGTTTGTTGAGCACATTTCTACGAGATGTTAATAAAGTTTTGCTACACAGTGTCTCATGCATAAGCAATCAACAAGCATATTGTCAATTTATAACACATTAAAAACATGACTAGTGGTAAACAGTATAAAGTATAACTGTATAAGTGAGAACTACTTGACTATGTTGACATGGTTGTTTAGATTCCTCTGTAATAATAGAGATAGATTGCTTGGTAAAAATATCTTCAGAATCCTACAAATAAAGACCATTATTTAATTTAAAATGTGTACAGACTTTTAATAAGTGTTGAAATAATGCATGCCTTCTTTAAATTACTTCAAAATTTTTAGTTTTTCTAGTGAAAGCAGTCCTACATATAACCATTTCCAATGACTTTTCATGAGAAACAATATCAATATGTACATTAAAACCTGTGTTTTGGTGGTTAACTCTTGGTGCTTGTCATAATTTTCAGCAATATCTTCACTTTGTTCATTCTACATATAAATGAAAAACCCATAAACATAGCGTATTTTTATATCTACATAGTTTTACAATATATGTAAACTTACTAAATCCCCAAATTCATTTTCTTGTTCAAAAAATTGAGATTCATATGACACACTGCTATTCTATTAACATATATGACATTGTGATTAAAGGATGTAGAGAATCCAGACTTGAAATTGGAAAATGTGCTCAGAATAATCGTTTTTCCTTACACAACATTGTGGGCATAAATAAATTTGTACACATACTTTTGTTAATATAACTGTAGTAATAAATATAAATTAATATGAAATTGTGCAACCAGAAACAATAAAAGAACACTTTAAAAATTCCTACCGCATCATCTTTTGTGTGTTTCCTTTCCTCTCCACGTTATTGTAAAAAAGTCATTTGAGCGTCTGAATTTCTTCCTGAATTGATACATTTTGCAAGTGTACCCAAAAATAATACCCCGATTTATAAAACCAGTACTGCACTTGTTCTTGGATTGACAAAGTTAGCCTAGAATTATTCTAAGTACCATTCTCCCAGCCAGACTTCTCCGATAGATATTTAAAAAAGTACTAAGCATAGTACTGAGTGACTGAGCCCTGTTGATCGATTGCCTTGCTTCGAACTTTTGATGTTGCAAACTCCTAAAAAATATGAATACACGAAGAAATATTGTTCTCATACATGAACTTTGAAACATGTAGTAAATGGAAGCCTTGAAATTTCTTTTTTTAACTGCACCAGTCGGATGGTTGTATTTGTGGTTGTATATGCCATTTTCCGGCAGCGAAACATACCACAATTCGTTCAAACGCCATATTGAATATTGACTAGTTTGCATGTTTCCATCAGTCAAAGGTAGAAACGTCATCATTGTTTGTGACCGACGACCATACCGACGACCCGATGACAATTAATACCAATTTTTCGGAAATCAGTTTACGGCATTGTTTTACTGAGAAAGCAAACGATTGCCTCAAAGCTGCTTAAATATTGTAGTTTCTAACGATAAAATGAAACTTTGTAAGAAGAAGTTGTCCTATTTTTCATCAAATTTCAACGTATATTGAACAGTGATACTGTCGTCACAGAATAGATAACTTAATCTATTCTGTGTCTTTGTTTTACATAACAATAAAGGCCCAAAATTATTTGCCCCGTATCCACTCAAGCGACGCAGACATTTGACGCTTAACACTTCAGAACGTTGAATTTATCTGAAAGATTGAATGTTCAAAGCTCCAACCGTCGACCAGCAAAAGGTTTGTAAGACAAAAGATAAAGAATTATCATGTGTGTTTACGATGTATAAATGTGACCTTAAATACAAAATGTTTGTCATATTTAATTAATATATTTTTACTAAATATTAGTCACACCTTAGTACTGTGAAATATACATCATAGATACCCGTAGCAATTTGTAATCCTGTAATTGTATACCAATCAAACGAAGTTGCAAATACAAACAATTTACTTACGAAAAATAATTACTGCCATCGAAAGGAAGGCTTGTTTATCGTGATGTGTTTGTTTGCCAAGAAATTCAAATTGCTTGCTAGCATGCAATTATATTTATCTTTGGGTCCGGACGGTATATTTATAAAATATGTGTTATTTCATTATACTTGTGATGTTATGAAGTGACATTTATACATTTATGAATCAGGAGGAGAATTAAGTTTGAAATTGCAAATGGACTCATGCATGCCATCATTGATATTTTAAATATTTAGTCGGATTTTTTTAAACATTTAGTCGTTTTGAAACGTTGCAATTATCTTTTGTCGAGCTGTTGACGCTAAGGTGATACATGCAAATTCATCATTGAATAGTTTAGATATTTAAGTCGTTTTAGAAGTAGAAATATTGATCAGGAAGTGGGTTTATCTTTGTCATAAACTATAGCATCGCTTGTTCAATTTTGTAAGTCAACATTTTAAATGGGCCAAAGAATTTTGCTTATCTTTGTGACGTTGCAATTGTCTTTCGTCGATGCTTAGCTGTTGACGCTAATGTTGATATGTGCAAATTCATCGCATTAAATAATACAATACTGAAGATCTCTGATTTCCTATCAACTTGATAACCTTATAAGTACAGCTGGGCAATCAAACAATTCTGCACATCTGTGTAAAAGAAAGCATGCATATGTGACGTCATTCGTGTCACGTGTCCTAAGACATGAATATTACAACATATTAATTCCTTTTAACACTTCCACTTAATAGTTATATTAACAAAACTAACAAATCTTCATGACACAAAATTAAAACTTATCATTGTTCTTTGACTTCAACTACTCCCAATAGCTTTGAAAAGTTTTGATAGTAAACTTTTGAGAGTCTTTTGGTCATTAAATCACCAATCATGTCTTCTGTTTGGCAACACTTGAAAGAAATGATGTTATTTTTGACGTGTTGTCACACATAGTGATACGACACATCTACAGTGGTTGGCCAAAAAAAAATGTCCCCGTAATGAAATATGAGTTTTGTTTATAAAATTCATGAATTAATAAAAACAACATTTCTAGTAAACGACAATACTTAAGCAGTAATTTACAAAAAAAGTGCATGTGCAGAAATGTCGACGGTCCTGCAACACTGAAATAATTCGTCATGTTTATATATTGCAACAAAAATCAACACAAACATGAAGCAATTTTTAAAACCAACGCAACGTATACATGAAAATAAAGAAGTTGAATTGTTAAGAGTGACGAACAAGACGCCGTCTACAGATATATCAGAATAAAAAAGGCGAAGGGATCGTGAAATTCGATATATGCTAAATGCTGGAGTCAGTGTTTGTGATTAGGAAGTTGCAAAGAAGTTTCTACTAAGTTACTGTGAAGTAAAATACAGAGTTCAAAGTTGAGGTTAACTTGAGATTGTAATCACACCTCCTAGTGGTAGAAAAAAACAATAGACCACTGAGAGAAGGAATATCTTTATTGCTAAAACCTTAAAGTTAGGTACCCTATCAAAGATTTCTTTTTAAATCTTATAGTTCCAGACTTCAAATGCAGCCTTTAGATAATCTTTGTAGCTTTGCAAATGTCTTTTGTTGATGCTAAGGTTTATTTATGCAAGTTTCGTCGTATTGAATAATTAAAAACTGAAATTCTGTGATTTCCTCATCAATCTGATATTGAACATTTTTATAACTTCATCAATACAGTTAGGCAATCAAATAATTCTGGACATCACGTGATACATCAGTGAAAACACAAACTGTGCAACAGCCGTTTCTTACGTCACTTCTAGCATTCAAGACAAAGACAAAACATAAATTTCCATATGACTTTGGAAACTCTCTATAGTTGTCTTTATTCAAACTAAAGCTTGATTTGTTATGTTCTATGAATGCCAGCTCCTTTTGTAAATATTTGTCTTCCTTTTTGTCTTTTTATCCTCATTATGACGTTTCACAGCCTCTCTTCTTGTCTTTCAGAATAAAACTTCCTCGTTAACATCGCTGTCCTTAATGTTTAACACTTGCAAATATGAAAAAAGTTATTTCATTTTTTATGATTCTCGAAAACGTCGCAAAATGATGCTTTTTATCTATAGCCAATGCTGTTCACAGCTGAACACAATCACAAGAAAGTATCTTTAATTTCTCCCTTATCGAAACTGTTAGAATCTGCTCTCTCAGTTTTCTTTTCAGTCGGTGCGTACCATAGAGACGTGTTATAAATTACGAACATTCTGATCTATAATATTTTGCGAACTAAAAGGTCTTTGTAAAAGCTCATAGAAATTATATCTGAAAACTTTTATCGTATTTGTAGATACACGTTCTAAAAAAGTCACGACCAATAGGCAATATTCAACATTCGAGTTTACGTTAATGATTCCCTCAAAACGCGTTAGTTTATCAACATAGATTAAAAATTCTCATTTCATATTAAAATTTAATCAAAATAGTAGTTCATGGTCTTAAAATTGATAAAGAATTTTACCATTGCCAATCAATTGTCGTACATAGGCAAAGAAAAACAAGATCTTGTGTTACAACATGTTGTAAAACATATATATTTATAAAATCAAGTTTCAATTAATGCGTTAGAGTCAATGAAATTAAATAAACATCAACCTTAGTAAATTTAAAAAACACCATCAGCTACAACATTATAACATATTCTTAGATACAGAGGCATGACATTCACAAATGACTATGCAAATTATTGAAGAATATATTCATATGTCTGTTTTGTAACGTAAACTTTAAGGTAAAATATCACGTTTTTTAAATTTTTCTAAAGGTCGTTTGACAGGATACTGCAGTTGGTAAAAGCTGTAGCATACATGCTCTCTGTCATTATTAGTTTTTAGGTTCTTTTGTAATTTTAAGACGATTTTTGGTGAAATTAAATCAATTTAAAAATAAGTTTGATTTCGTCATCATGTAAATTCGGACTTCAATGGAACCTAATAAGGGTTGTATAATATTTTTTTATTTGCTTGATTTTTGTCTTGTTGATATATACCAAATTTTTTTACAGATGGAATCGTCAGGAATAAGAAATCTGTCTTACATTCAGCAAATAATTAACGTGGTGCAAAAGGAACTTGCTCAGTTTTTCATTAAACAATGGAACTCTTGTTACAAATCAACTTATGGAGAATGGGATGATACACACAACAGTGGTAACAAATTTTACAATTTAGAATCAAGAAGAAAGTTAGACCAAAAAACTCGACAAAAATATCAAGATGGAGATACCAGTAAGTGGGACTGTACGATATTATTTGATGCAATAATTTTTTCAAATTCAATTGGAAAGCACCTTGACAAAAACAAATGATGCTGTTCATGCACTTCGTGGTGAAAGAAACAAGTACGCACATTGGTATGAAGGGGAATGCTCAGATGATGATTTTGATGATATAGTCAACATCATTGAAAAATCCTTTCAAGATTTGAAATTTTCTCTTGATGCAATCAATGAAATAAAAAATCATCGAAAGTGTTTTAATTCGTTCCAAGTTCTTCCTTCAAAATCTAATCATTTTTTTGTTGAACGCACTGAATTACGAGATAAAATTATAAACGATCTTGAAAAATTAAGCAATGATAACAATGATAAACTGACATATTTTACATCACTGGTAATCCTGGCAGTGGTAAATCACAACTTGCAAGACAGGTTTGTGAAAAATATCGTGTGATTGGAAAAATAGAACTTCGTTTGTAATGACTCTCGATGGAAAAATGAGGAATCTCTTTTAAAACTTACTGTGAACTTGGATACCGTTTAAACTGTGACAAGTATATGATTAAAAATTTGAAGATGAAAATTGTTCCATCGCAGACAAAGTGAAGAATTTGCGATCGTTAGTATCTACACGATTAAAATTCTGGCAAAA